TCAACATCCTGAAATCCATGCTGGTGGATCCAGGGAGCCTTTCTGTGACAGCTTGGGTTTAGCAGGTCATGACCCAAGAGAAATCTGCAAGAACAAGTCAGGGTTATTCTGTCCTTTCATGCATTAAAACCACTCTGAACTGATCTGAGCCATTAAAAACTTCCTGCACTGAAGTGTTATGGTTTTTTTTTTCCTCTTCCAGACCCCAGCACCTGATGCAGCTGCAGAGAAGGAAGTGAAGTCTGAGTGACGCCTGCTCCCACATCTGTAACTGGTGGTCCTTAAACCTTTCTTCTTGTACAATTCAGAGGAATATTTTTATCAACTATTTTGTAAATGCAAGTTTTTTAGTAGTTCTAGAAAACACGTTTTTAAAAAGGAGAGAATCCCGACTCAACCCATTTTTTTACATATTTAGATAAGTGTAAATGCTTTTTTTAAGTGGTAAAATCACGTACTGGTTGTCTGTTTTCTATGAAACCAGAAATTAATGGCATGTTAATTAAGGAGAGGGCTTTGAGGCCTTCATTAGGCCTCACGTTCCACAGACTCCAAGGGACAGTTTTCTATCCTATAAAATGAAACATAACACAGATCAGACTTTGGAATTCGTAATGATGTGTTGAGAATGTCTTAACATTTTAGTTATTTATCTTTCTCTATTGTTGTACCATCATCAGTAGAATTGCTTATCTAATAAAACTGCTCCCTAGTGGTGGATTTCTTGCTGAGTGATGTATATCAGTGACAAAGTTATTTTTGGTAGTTGCAGCTTTATTTTTTCCAACAACTTTGTAGCTGTGATGCAAAAGATTGGAAACTTTTATTTTATATCTTTACATACTGTCTTAAGTAAAAGTTTCTGCTTGGCAGATGGAACTTGTTATGTCAATATTTGAGATACTGGAACTTCACATCTAGTTTTAAAGGACAGCTTGTCTACAAAGATTGAGTGAAAAATATTTGAAATAGTGCTAGGAAAAAAGACAGTTAGTTTTTAGATTTAAAAAAGCTCTGTGAATAAAAACAATTGTAAAATTGTTGATAGTGTTTGTGATCACCAAACAAAAGCCAAATAAATCTTGATTATGAAAGGGTGTTTCTGTAGCTCCTGCATTGATTGTGAACTCACAGTCTGAGTGGTGTGGTTTGGATTTTTAATTGTGTCCTTCAGTGTTAAAATTGTACTTTTAAAGAGATGGGTGGTGGCTCAGGGAGTGGAGAATTGCAGTGTTAATCTCCACTTGCAGTTTGAAAGCTGAGAGCTTTGTGCTGCTGCTGTTTGCTTTAAAAAAAGTCAGGAATAGGAAGCATCAGCTGCCAGCCAGACAACTGTCACCTTGTCCTGGGAGGAGCCAACATCAAACAGTAACGTTTGTTCTTTGTTGTTTTTTCTTCCTCTTGCCCCAGAACTTGTTGATGCTCTTAGCACCTGCAAGCCCAGTACTTGTTTCCTGTACCTTTTTTTACTGCCTTTTTCAAATTGTTGTAGTTATTTATATCTAAAATAACTCACTTTAGTTTCACTTCTAACTTGCTTTCTTAATCAGTACTTTCAGGAAGAATTTTATCATTTTTACCTTTTCAATACTTGAGCAATCTTTTAACTTTTCTATCGGAATTCTCCCAGCCTTAGACCACAACCTGCTCCTGTTCCATTCCACCACAGGTGTGTTCCTCACAGAGCACACCTGGCTTTGGCTTCAAGTTCTTGGATATGTCAAAACTGGAAACTGATGCCACTTTACTAACTCACTTTCCCCAACACCCCCTTTCAGGTACCGTATTTTTGTTGGTTTGATTTAATAGTAACATTATCTAGCTCCATATTATTTTCTCTCTGGTTTTGGAAGTTCAACCCACCAATTAAATAAGTAATAAACTTGCAGGGAAATCACCCAAAATAACCATTTATCCCTGTTTTTACAGAGTGTCTATTTTTCATATGTTTTGGGTCTCTGGTGCTCTGATTCTGTGGACTTGCAGCCTCTCCCTCACATCTATTACCCACTGCTTAATTTATTGTAACTTCTCGATATTACTCTTTCCTGTGTGATACCAGATTTGCTCTTCGGCTCAGGACTGGCATGAGAGCTGATGCAGATTTGCATCCAATGGAGCACAATCTGATTCAAAATACAACAGCAGGAGAACAAAACTTGTTTCTTTAGAGATATTCCATTGTCTTTGTATGCTGCTAGTAGTTGTTTGGGTTAAGGGGATGATAGATAAAAATGATTTACTTCAAGGTTCTAAAAATGCATTTCAAGGTACCAGAGGTGGGGAATGAAATAGGGAAAGAAGACCTTGGATTTAAAATGTAACACAAGTACAGCCATTGCTGTTTCATCAACATTCATGCTGGGCACGGCAAGGAAACAACTGTGAGAAAGAAAAAAGAATGGTTTGGGTTGGAAGGGACCCAGCCAGTGCCACCCCTGCATGGCAGGGACACCTTCCACTGTCCCAGGCTGCTCCAATCCCAATGTCCAACCTGGTCTTGGGCACTGCCAGGGATCCTGGGGCAGCCACAGCTGCTCTGGGCACCCTGTGCCAGGGCCTGCCCACCCTGCCAGGGAACAATTCCTGCCCAATATCTCGTCTATTTCTACTCTATTTCAGTTGGAGGGCGTTCCCCCTTGTCTTGTCACTCCAGGCCTTTCTTGTCAGTTTCTTCAGGCCCTGCAAGGCCACCCTGAGCTCAGCCCAAAGCTTCTCCTCTCCAGGCTGAACAATCCCAGCTGTGCCAGCCTTTCCTCCCAGCAGAGCTGCTCCATCCCTCTGCTCATCCTGCTGCCTCCTCTGGACTCACTCCAACAGGTCAATGTCCTGGATCCCAAAATCTTGTCTCCAGGAGCCAGGCTCGAGGTGTCACAGGCATGGGGACAAAGCTGCTTTTTCTTGGATCAGTGATGCCAGGGAAGCAGTGCTGCTGGTGTGGGAAATGCTCTCCCCAAGCTGGTGTTTGGGGCAGCCGCGGTGCCCCCCAGCATCCCCCATGGAGCTCTGCTGTCTCAGCATGAGGCTGGGCCGTCCCTAAGCTCCACCACTCCTGCTCCCAAATCTCTCCTGGCATGGAACACACCGGGAACCACGCGGGGCCGTGCACTTTGAATCACATTATCACATCATTTAGCTTGGGAAACACCTCTGAGATCATTCCAACCTCAGACTGATCAGCACTTTGTCAACGACCGGATCACGAGGACTTCAACACCTCCCTGGGCAGCACATTCCGATGTTCAGTCACCCTTTCAGCGAAAAAGTTCTCCTGATGAGCCTGCCCTGGCCCAGCCTGAGGCCGTTCCCTCTCCTCCTGTCCCTGTTCCCTGGAGCAGAGCCCGACCCCCCCTCCCTGCCCCTCCTGGCAGGGACTTGTGCAGAGCCACAAGGTTCCCCCTGAGCCTCCTTTTCTCCAGCCTCAGCCCCTTTCCCAGCTCCCTCAGCCCCTCCTGGGGCTCCAGCCCCTTCCCAGCTCCGTTCCCTTCTCCGGATAAGCTGCAACCCCTCGATATCCTCCTGGCAGCGAGGGGCCCAGAACCGGACACGGCACTCGAGGCAAAGGCCTTGGCCTGGCGGCACACGGCGTCCGCTTCGTCACTGCATCGCTCCCTGGAACCGGCTCCCGGTGCCTCGCCGCGGGTCCCCGGGAGGGCTGTCCCGGGCTAGGAAGGCCGAGGCAGCGGCGGCAGCGCAGCAGCTCCGGGGGCGATCGGAGCAGCTCCGAGCCGCCGCCTCTCCCCCGCCGCCCTCAGCCACGCCGCCTCGCCGCGCTCAGCTCCGCCCCCGGTGCGCGTCACCGCCGCCTTCCTCGCGCGATCCTTCCGCGCCTCCTCCTCCTCTTCTCCTCATCGGGCGCCTTCCCCACCATCCCCCCAGCCGCCCGCCCCGCCACGCTCCACGTATATTCCCCACGGCCACACGCCTTCACCGCTGTTCCCCCGGCGCGCTCGGAGCGCCCGGTACTGCGGGCACTATTTTCCGCCGCCCCCCCGCGGGCGCTCCCGGCGGAGGTGTCGGCGGCAGCGCCGTGGCGGGTGGTGCGGCGGCGATGGCGGCGGCGCCGCCGAGGCTGCGCTGAGGGGGGAGAGGGAGGGAGGGAGCGCTGAGGGGAGCGGGGGGGCGGCCGTGAGGGGAGGGAGGGAGGGGAGAGGAGGCGCTGACAGCGCCGTGCCGAGCCGGGCCCGCCGCCCTCAGCCCGCCATGGCCGAGCCTGCGGCCTCTTCCAGCTCCGGCGCGTCGCTGCCGCTCATTGAATCAGGTAACACCGCGGGCCGGGCTGAGGAGGTGCCGCCGGTGCCGCCATCTTCCTGCCCCCCCCCTCAGGATGGGTCACGGCCGCCCCCCGGCTCATCCCCCGTGTCTCTTGCCGTGTCTCTTACAGAGCTTTACTTCCTCATCGCCCGGTTCCTGAGCACCGGGCCCTGCAGGAGAGCGCTGAAGGTGAGTCCTGGGCTCACCGCGGCGCGGGGACCCCGCTCTGCCCGCACGGGGTCGGGGGGAGGTGGGAGCAGCCACGACCCCCGCTCTGGGGGAGCCAAATCGTGCCTTGTCCCTGACTTTGTGTTTTTCCCCTTCCCTCTGCAGGTGCTGGTGCAGGAGCTGGAGCAGCACCAGGTCTGTGTGGGCTCTGATGAAATCTTGCTGTAGTCAAAAGTTTCCTTTGCAAGTCATTCAAGTTTCTGCCGCTGTCTCAACTTTTCCCCCCTCAACACACATTGTTTTGGATGTGGTCTGTAATCCCTCCTTTCCCTTTTAACCGCTCACGTTTTTCTTTTTTTTGTTTTTCCTTTATTTAGTTGCTTCCTAAAAGGTTGGATTGGCAAGGAAATGAGCATTATAGAAGTTACGAAGAATTGGTGAGACTTTTCTCTTTAAAAAAACCCCTTTTATTTACGGTGATAACATTGATGTTAGACCCTCTACCTTTAAGAGTAGGCCCAAATCTTCACCTTCCAGTACTATGCGGGCTCTGAACACTGGATTTACTTTAGAAAAGGCCCTTAATTTCTTTACATCAGACTAACAAAAACACAAGAGGTGGTTTAAATTGAGGATATTGTTTACATAGCAGAGGTGGAGCTTGGCGTTGTGCAGTGGTACATGCCGCTGCCTACATGCAGGCAGGAGCCAATCTACAGCGAGGTTTCATTTCGGAGTTTCAGGGGCCAGGTTGTGAGGCACGTTGTGATTTGTCGGTATTTATTTTCTGGTTGGTTTCTTTCAGCCCCCTCCAACAGATTAGGAAATGAAATCGCTGCTCAGAAACCGAGGGTTGGCGGTTGTGGTGCCTGTGAATGTGCTCATATCCCCGGCTCCTTACTGGTCATGGCTTTGTTTCTAACGTGCTGGAGAGATGGGGGTGATCTCTCTCTTCCACGGCTGGTGTGGTGTGTTCTGAATTGTTGTTAGAGAAGGCAGAGCTCTGTTTCGGGGGCTTAATTTTGCTGCTTCTTAAGTGGCAAAGAGTTTGAATGCCAGGGAGTGATGGCCTGGTGGTGCCTGCCCTGCCCAGCGTGGTTTTTATCTTGCTTTGATTGTGTTTCCTTGAAAGAGGTGTTTGTCCTTGCTTTTTCCCACCTAAGGTTCAGGCATTCCAGGTTAATTGACTGATTATGAGTTGCAATGAACTCCCTCTTGTGAAGCACTTAAGGATCTCAGCATCATATTTGCATAGAGAAGGAATGAAATGTTGTTGTTTAAAAGTATTGCTTGAAATGATAAGTTTGATTCCATTTCCTCTACTTCTCATTGTGGTCCTTTGAGCAAGGAAAATCAGGTTTTTTTAAGTCACTAAGAAGCCTGGCCTTGCTGAACAGGAATATTTTCAAGCTGTGGCTTGAATTTAGACAAGATGAAAGTAGGGTTAAGCTTTAAAAGAATTGTTGGGAGTTTTTTTGTTGCTTCACTGTTGGTTTCTTACCCCATTTCTTCTGACAAAAAGCAGGGTGTTGGGAGATCTCATGTGTGTATTTTTCTGATTTCAGGGCTGCTTTTTAACTGTGATTATTCTGTATATACAATTGTCAAACTAATTCTTTAATGTGTGCTGCTTCTCCTCTTTTTTCTTGCACAATTTCAAGGAAATCTGTGCACAGGGCAGTACTGTGTCAGAATATCTAAATTAATCTTCTCAGGGTTTTAGTTTCTGTTTTTTGAGGAGTTCTGGGAACCTCTTGTCCCAGTGGTCTCAGTCTGAATTTGCAGAGACCACAGACAAATGCAGTCATGTGGTGTAATTATTTCTATTCCACCTTGCTCAGCATGGAATTGCAAATCTTTAAAATAACTGTTCCTTCCAAAATCTCAGTAAAACTACTTCAAAAAGATAGGAATTGCAAGGTTTTGTATGCAAGGGTTGTATTTAGAAAATATGCTTATTGCTGATGGCATGCAAACAAAAACGGGTTTTAGTGTTTGGCAGAAAGCACGCTGACCTTTCTGTCCTGAATGTTGTGGCTGGTACTGCTCTATACCAATTCAAAAGTCAAAATGGATAAAGAAATTATGTCAAACTGCATTTTGTAATCTTTGGGCTACCAGATACATTTCTTATAATCGACCTTAAGCATCTGATGGGCTGATTTGCTTGGACAGATTTGCCTGTGGGGTAATGGGAACTATTTTACTGATGTTATCACCTCCCACCTTGCCAGGAATACAACCTGTGCACTACAAGCTTTATACCTGGGTTTTATTATTAAATACAAGTGCAAGGCTGTGACTTAAATTATACCTTCTGAATGCTCAGTGTGCATTTGGGCAACTTTTTGGCAGCCTGTGGTATTTTTATTCCCACTGTTGTGACGAGCAGACGAGCCCTGTTGAGACACTTTGCTCATCCAAGCTCAGCCATTTGGCCAAGGGAACAGCATCAGCAGCACGAGCTCGTTCTGCCTGTGTTCTCAGCCACCTGGGCAAGAGGCCACATACCTGAGTTGGTGTGGCCCTGAGCCTCTCCTGAATGGATTGGCTGGGAATTCTCTGGCTGCTGCAGGAGCAGTGTGGCTGCTGGGGCTGACTGGTTTGTTCGTGGCCAGGTCACACTGGAGGAAGCATGGGGCTATTGATCCTAGCTGCTTCAGACCTCCCCAACACTTTCAATTTATGATTCTGATGGTTTGTTCTACTCAAGGCTGTTTAAACTTTTACTTGGTGTCTTTAATTTCTGCATTATTGCAGTTGTCTTGATAAGAATAAGGATTTTTTAGTCTGAACTCCCAGAAAGAAAAGGGGGGAAAAATAATCAAAACCAGCACACATCTGTTCTTGTCTGAGACATCTGAGTGTGTGTGGGGGTGTATTTTTTTTTTTTAGGTTGCTCGATGCAGATAGTGTGGGATTGTTCCTGAATGTAGGGATGACTGGTTTGATCCTTTGGTTTAAGGAAGTAGGGCAGACTTAGGCTATGTAGTACTGGTTCTTCAAGGAAACTGTTTCCAGAGAGATTGTACTCAAACCTGCTGGTTTGCAGTTCATTTGAACAAGTACAAGTAGCAGCTGCATAAATTCTTGTGCTTGATTGTAGCCACATTCTCTGTGATGTTGAGTTAGGAGAATTGAATTTTATTTCTTACTTTTAATACAAATAATAGGGTGAATTGAGCAAAGACACTCAGTGTAGGGTGCCTCACAAGTGGGTGCCACAGGGGTGATTCCTGTAAACTTCCAGTAATAAAATACTGATGTGCAGTGGTAACTTTACTCCAGTTATTTTTACTACAGCTCTCCCTAGCTTGCAGAGTACCCACAGAATTTACTAGATTAGAGCTTAACAGAATCGATTTTTCTCTGTAAGTTGAACTTATAAAAAAAAATTGAATATACGTGTGTGTATTGATGCTTTTACATTCATCTGTTCTGAGTGTACCATCCTTACTTTTAAACCTTGAATTTCTGTCAGGTGCTATCCAACAAACATGTGGCTCCAGATCATTTATTACAAATTTGCAAACGTATTGGCCCTATCCTGGATAAGGAGATCCCACCCAGCATTTCCAGAGTGAATTCCTTACTTGGGGCAGGGAGGCAGTCCTTGCTACGGACAGCTAAAGGTAGGATCTGTTCTTTGTTTGAAATGGGTGTGATCCATTGGCATGTGTACAGGTTAGGATTTTGGGAATAGTGTAAGAGAGGCAGAACTGACACTTTGGAATTGACCTCCTGGAATCCCAGCATGGTTTGGGTTGGAAGGGACCTTAAATCACATCCCATTCCACCCCCTGCCATGGCAGGGACACCTCCCACTGTCCCAGGCTGCTCCAGCCCCAGTGTCCAGCCTGGGCCTTGGGCACTGCCAGGGATCCAGGGGCAGCCACAGCTGCTCTGGGCACCCTGTGCCAGGGCTGCCCACCCTCACAGGGAAGAATTTTTTCCTAACATCCCATCTAAACCTGTTCTCCTCCAGCCTGAGGCAATTCTCCCTTGTCCTTTCATTCCAAGCCTTTGTGAAAAATTCCTCTCCAGTTTTCTTGTAAATCTGCTTTAGTTAATGAAAGGTTCTTAAGATCATCTCATTAAATAACTTCATAGTAATAATTATTCATTACATTCCTGTATAAATATTCAGGAAAATATTAAAAATCATTGTTGAAATTTTAGTTTTGTGTTGTGAACTGCAGGGGTACCATCATTTAGGAATAATTTCGATGTTTGGTAGTTGGTTGTGTTGGTTTTCTTCTCCTTTTTTAGTATTAAATGGATTTTTCTCTTTAACTCTTCACTATTTGTGAGAAGTCTTGGGGCAGTTGGGGCCTGGTTTTTTGGTGGGTTTGGGACCAGTCTAGATGGGCTCTTTGCTATGTTTTGGAACTGCAGCTCTCTTGGTATTTTTAACAAATACTTATGATGAACATCAACTGCTTTTGCAGATTGCAGGAACACGGTTTGGAAGGGCTCTGCATTTGCTGCTCTTCATCGAGGCAGACCCCCTGAAATGCCTGTGAACTATGGCACCCCACCAAATCTTGGTAAGCTCTCCTCACTCTCAACTCTCACTGAGCACATCCAAAATGCTGGTTTTACACACAGAAAAAATGGCAGATACCACAAAACCTGACTTTATGAAATCTGAAAGTAATTTGTGGTAGTTCTAATATTAATGGCAGTTGAATAAAGCCAAGTTTTGGAACAGACATGTTTGAATCATGATGTGATTCCTCTGTGTTCTAGTGGAGGTGCATCGAGCAAGGCAATTAACTGGATATGCCAAGTTCAGCACATCATTCCCAGGAAGTATGTACCAGCATGTCAAGATGCACAGGAGGATCCTTGGCCATCTCTCTTCTGTATATTGTGTTGCATTTGACAGGACTGGGCACAGAATATTTACTGTAAGTTGATGAAATATATCCAACAGTGAATATAGATTTAGGTGGTACAAGGAAAAGAGCTTGGAAATGAGTGTTGTGCTAAAACTTCCAGAGATAAATGTCAATGCTGGTAAAATGTGGCTGCCTCGCTGTGCTGAAGTGGAACAATTTGCTGTAGTTAAAGGTTTAGAAGCCTGTCAGAAGTTGTCCTTAATGAATATTTCTCTCTAGGGCTCAGATGACTGTCTGGTGAAGATCTGGTCCACTCACAATGGCAGATTATTTGCCACCTTACGAGGACATTCAGCAGAGATTTCTGACATGGCTGTGAACTATGAGAACACCATGATTGCAGCTGGGAGCTGTGACAAGATGATCCGAGTGTGGTGTTTGAGGACTTGTGCACCAGTTGCTGTCCTCCATGGGCACACAGGGTCCATTACCTCATTGCAGGTAAGTTTTTCTGCATATTAAAAACTGAAATTATTTCTCTGTGGCTGCCTATGGGAGAAGTGAAATCTGAATGTGTAAATATTCATGTCAAAACTAAGTCAAATCACAGGATAAACCTGCTTAAAACAAGTAAATTCCATGTCTCTCTGGAATTCCTAAGTATTTAACTGAAGATAATGACAAGAATTCTTTTTCACTTAAAGATCATTACCTATAATGCTTGAGTTGTTGGAACAAAAGGGAATTTCTTGGAAATATCATGTCCTCCTGTTGTCTCTTACTAGAGATGTGATTTGCTATTTTGTGTGAATGTGTTCTGATCCATTATATATTATTCCTACAACTTTTGGGATCTGGGTATTTGTTTTAATCTCAAAAATAGGAGTAATTTCAGAAGGACAAAGGTGTAACTTGTGTGTATTTCAATTTGAAGGTGATTTGATACATGATGTGCTCTTGGTGGTTCTTCGGATTCAGTCTGGCTTTGGCCTTTAATTCCTTCATTAACTCAGAAATTAGTAGCTCATTACCCAGATTTGGGGTGTTTTCTAGTGAGACTGACAGCTTGTCTTGAGGGGTGAAGAGTGGCTTGTGGAGCTCAGTACATATAAATAATTTTGCATTTTTCTCAAAAATGCTGCCTCAGAGAGTAATCTTCATACCTGCGCTCTGTTGCATTCTTTACATTTTTTTAGTTTGGTTGGTTTTTAATGCCTAAATACTTGTGGTGCTTCTTTTATTGTAGGGTGGATTTTTTAATTTAAGCTTTCTTAATAATACCATAATTTATACCACAATTTCTTTCTTAATAATACCACAATTTATATGACTTTACAATGTTAGTAATTAATGAACAGTTTAAACAAGTTGTGTCTGTAAAGCTTTCTGAAGGGTAGCTCTGTGCACAACAATAAGTCCATATCTTAAAGAACTATTTCTCAGGAATTCCTATAAAATTATGTATCATGCTATCTCATATCTCATGCTCTGTTTAATTATTTTTAAACTATACTTGTCTATTCAAACTTCCCTTTTTTCAGTCTGCTGTGCTATTTCATTCATTGACAGGATTTTCAGTGAATGACTATGATCATTGAAAAAACATCAAACCCAAACCACTGAAGGAATTGGGTTTTTTTAACACAGTAATTGAGACACAGACCACAAACTTATCTTAAAGTAGAGGAAGTATTACTTTGCAAACACTAAAAATGAGTTACCAACAACTGCTGCAGCAGTTTGAGGTGAAAAATTCAAAATAAATCGAGCTTTTACAATAATTTTTGGAGAAGTTAATGAGCAGTTGTTAAATCTGTGTGTGATTTTGCTTTCCTCTCTCTAGTTCAGTCCCATGGTGAAAGGCTCCCTGAGATACATGGTCTCCACTGGGGCAGATGGAACTGTTTGCTTTTGGCAGTGGGATACAGATTCCATGAAATTCAAGTATGTGAATGGTTTCTGATGAACTTTTTTGCCATCCTAGGCTTCAGTAAAATAAGTCAAGTGCTTTTCACTCCACTGGGATTTGGGGTTATAAAAATGCTGTGCAAATCATGTATTCTGTAGTTATTTTAAAGCACTATCACCAGCTATATCCTTTACAAATTAATGTCGTTCCATTGACTTGGGAGATTAGTTGGGAAATATATTAATTTCTTTCTTCTAACTAAAAGTACAAATGTAGGACTACAGGAATGACTGGAAATGTAGGCATGTCAGAAAGTATAATAAAAACTTGGTGGTGGTGTTGATTTTCCAACAGTCCTGTAGTTTTAGGATGTTTCTTACTGAACTTGCATGCAGAATAGTTTGAAATGTTCAATATGTGGTTACTCTTTCTACCCCAAAAAATTAATTACTACCAAAAAGAGCTCTAGGATGATCAGTGTGTGTCTGGTGTTGTGCTACATCATGGTAGTTGGTATAAAATTATCAGTGTTTGAAGAAACATCCCTTTATGTTTTGAAATGTTGCTAAAAACCAAGTTTTGGGTGGTGTGGCCTATTTCAATCTTTTCTTTTTAAGCACCAAGCCAGTGAAGTTCACAGAGAAGCCCAGACCAGGGGTTCAGATGCTTTGTTCTTCCTTCAGTGTGGGTAAGTCACGTGGAGTTCAGCCTTGTGATTTCTTATTTCCTCTCTTGTAATACTTGATTGTGACAGCTTTAAAATGGAAAAAAAACCCTGCAGTTGTGAGTAAATAATTGCACAGATGTGCACTGTTAGCTGTGACATCATTAAATCGTGGGACTTCCCTTAGCTAATATAAAGACATTGGTGATTTCACAGAAGTAAAAGTCACCTAATATCTGTTTGCTTCTATCCATCTTTACTGGATTTTTTATTTTTGTGTTAATCCCCTCATGCAATGTCAAGAATTGGCAAAATGGGTTCTCTGACATCCCACAGTCACCAGCAGTGGAAATGTTTCCTGCCAGCAGGAGCTCCTGATCCAGTGCCAGGGATGTTCATAAAGATCTTCCTCTGTTAAGGATGCAGAAATGTGTCTTCAATGTGCTTCACCCCTGGCCTGTAGTTTTCTTTCATTCAGTTCATGTGAATTCCAGAAATAAAAAGCAAATTGAAGTGTAGCTCGTTAACATTGTCAGGACAGAGCTCTGGCATGTGTTGGGAGGGTTTTTGACATTTTGCTTGTTTGATTTTTTTTTTTTTTTTTTTTTTTTTTTTTTTTTTTTTTTTACAGCACTTAGAGGCAGATCTTGGAATTTCTGCCACCACAGCTAAATACTGGTGTGCTTACACTGGTGTTTGGCTGGTTTATTCACATTTCAACCTAATTTTGATGCAGTTCACTTGCACAAATGAGGCACTGGCTACAGTGAGAGTCATGTACATAATTCTGATTATCCAGAGCCATATTCTCCACCATTGAAGGCTTCTCTGTGCCATTTAATGTTAAAAGTTCCACTATTGCCCTAATGATTTATTTTAAAATCTTTGTAACACTAATTTAATTTTTTACTGTGGCTGAGAACACTTTCTGGAACAAGAAAGGGATTTCCTTCCACATATATGTGTCAGTGGAAGAGCATAAAAAAGTGTGCCATTCTTCAAATAGTTGTGGGTTTTTTTCATTTAAACCAGGCCTCTGAGAAATGGTAGTGACCTGTTTTAGTTTCTTCCACAGCAGGTTAATTATTGCTTGATTTTTACAGGTGGTATGTTTTTAGCAACTGGCAGCACTGACCATGTCATCAGGATGTATTTTTTTGGCTCTGAAACACCTGAGAAAATAGCTGAATTGGAAAGTCATGCTGTAAGTAATTAGTTAATTTGTTATTTGAAGCAGCACTGAAGTCACAAGGTGATTTTATGGGTGGGTTTTTAGCATGCTCTTAATTAATTTTGCTTGCATTAATGTTTCCTGTACTACAAAATCTGACTATATTTTTGTTGCATTAATAAGGCTTGGTCAGTACTTATTTTTTATGTAGAGAAAACTTTACCACTCTTAGTCTAAGTGTCATTATCTACTTTTTCTGCAGTTTTTATTGTGATAAATATGAATATTTCTTTATTTTTTTAAGGAAAGTGTAAGTAGGAGTAGGAACAACAGATTCCTCACCATTGTAGTTGACTTATTGTTTGGAAATATATTTAAATATGATTCAGTTGTCAGCCAGGTTATTTAATCTGTTCATCCTTCATGTTTAATTCAGGCAGTTTTTAAAAGATGCATTTTAATACATTAATGGTTAGTGAATTCTGAGAAGTGTTTGGACTTGGTGTGCCTTGCAGTTAAAACCCTTAGAAATTACACAACTTTTTTTTTCATTATTTCAGATTTTGCTAAAGTCAGAATTGTCAAGAAGCATATTTCCTATTTAAAAAATAAGATTTCTAACAAACTCTACTTTTTCTTACAGGACAAAGTTGACAGCATTCAGTTTTCTAATGGTGGGGACAGGTATGTTGCAAGATGCTGAAATTTGGACAAAAAAATACATAATTTTGGAGTTAAGAATCTATTACTGGATGTTCCCAGTAAGAAAAATCTACTTATTTACAACCCAGAAGGGAAATTTTGGACTGATGCAAGAGCATAATTAAGCTTCAGCTGTTCCAGCTTTCTGTTGATCTGAATTAGATCATTTTTGTCCTGGCTGGGGTTTTATTTAACTGGAGGGATTTTACCACTTTTTAATGTATCCAATGTGTTTGTGGCCTCATAATTCTCCTTTTGCTCCTCTTTTCCTTTCGTTTTCACTGAATATTGTATAGGCAATAGGAAAAAGGCAGTGAAAATGGTAAAAAATAAATTATAACCTTTTAATCTGATTTGATCTTGCCTCTACTTCAGTATCTGAAAATCTGCAATTACTTAAAATACATTAAAGTCTTGCACTGAGGATGGATTTGTGAATTGAGTTAACCTTTGGAACTTGCTTCTCTGTTTTTCATGTTTTGACAACCTTATTCAGTCTTCCAATTCAGAAAAACTCTTTCTTGATTTTCTGAAAAGAAATTTAATGGAAAGAATTCTCTCGAACATAAATTGAAGATTTCAATTCTATCAGTATTCCATTGCAAAATTTATATTGTGGTGGTGTGTAACTCTAAACATACTTGAGAGCAAATTTTTTGGAAGAAAAATGAATGAATTTTTAATACCTGTTCAGGTTCATAAGTGGCAGCAGAGATGGAACAGCTCGGATCTGGCGTTTCGAACAGGCAGAATGGAGGAGCATTTTGTTGGATATGTCTGATCGACTGCTGGGGTAGGTGAAGTGTTCATTCCTTGGCTTCTTTTGTGTAAATTCAAAAAGACTGAAAAACTCAGTTGCTCAAATGTGAGAGTGAGACATTCTGGTCAAGTTTTGTGGTCTTGGGAGGGGGTGAATTGAGTGTTCTGGTGATGTAATAATTGCTGAATTTCATGAATTCTGAAGTGTTCATAAAGCTCTCAGATGTACTCTGTACCAAGTGAATTTTATTGCCTGTTCTCAGAGGAAAAAGTGAACAGAAACAATCTACCTTCTCTATCTGGGTTTTAGTCTGACACCTGGTGTGTCACGGGAGAAATATTTTTAGATTAGTAAAAATAAAGTAGGTGGTGACCTATTTGCAGAAGAGGTTATGACAGGGAATAGGTGGCTTTCCTCAAGGACTGATCTTGCTGGCTATTCCCATTTTCTGCTTTTGAAAAAGTGAGGCAATGAAATACTGGTGGCACCCAGTCTGAATAATGTTATTAGAGATAAAAATCAGGATATTACGTGGTGTTGGGTAAGCCTGAAGGGGGATTTACAGGAGTACAGAAGCTCAGTAAGCTTCCACAGACACTGAACAGAAATTATTTATAGGTGACAAAATGAGATTTTAATTAAATGATTTGTAGGTGGTTAAATGAAAAGCCAAACCTTGGGCACATGAGTGGATTCAAGTGTGATTTGGGGCTTTTCCTGTAATGAAAAAGACCATGAAAGAAACCTGATTTTACAAAGGAGGAGTTGCTACTATTTGAGATTTGACTGTGGCTGTGTAGTTGAGAGTCTTTGTAGGAGAGGTCTCTGCTTGAAGTGGAATAAAGACAATCCCATGTGAAGGTGTTTCAGGGAAAACTTACTCCTTTGCTTGACTAAGAGGCTGAGGAGCAGTGTTAGAGTATCCTCTCAATGTCTTTTGGGGAGAGAAAAAGGAAATAAACTGAGGTTAAAACAAAATGTTATCTTTACTGTATTTCTGTTTGGACTCATGAAAAAATGCTTTGCTAATGTAGAGATTGGCTTGGGAATCAGTTACTTGGAAAAGCTGTCTGTAAAAAGTCCAAAATTTTAAAGGATTTATGTTAGGATTCTAATTGTAGAGGGGCCAAGATTCCATGGAAAAAGGAAAGCCTTTTTGCCTTGCCTCTCAGATGGGAAAGAGATTATCAAGTCCTTTAAAATTCAAAAATCTAGATTTGCTTTAAATGAAGGATTTTGTGGACAAAAGTTTAAACCCAAATTTAATTCTTCACTTTGTTTCTGTTGTCTGATTATTAACACAGGAAAAGCAGTTACTGTATTTTGATACAGAAATTGTCTAATTAAAATATAAATACATCTCTGACCTGTTTGACTTTTTTTAAAATAGTGACACTTGTGCAGAAGAAGACAAATTCATGAAGCCTAAAGTGACAATGATAGCTTGGAACCAAAATGACAACTATGTTGTTACGGCTGTGAATAATCACCTGCTCAAAGTTTGGAATTCCAGTACAGGGCAGCTGCTCCATGACTTGGTGGTATGGAATTTTCCTTGCTTTTGGAAGATTTTCCTGGAATTGCAGTGACATGTGCATGCTGAATTTATAATTAGAGCTGATTAGTCTTGTAAGCTCTGTATGGATGGTACAGCAAGTGTGGTGGTCCTTGGAATTATTTCAATCAAAATTTGCTGCTTCCTCCTGCTTAGGATTTTCCTCATAGATAAAAGAGCAAATAAATATGGAATAAATAAAATTTGTGTGCAGCAACTTGCCCATTGAATAATTCACCATCCTTTGGCAAAAGCTTCATATTTCTACAGCTCTTGCTTGAATCTAGAAAATTCTTCCCTTTGGAATGTTCAAATCTCTGTGGATGCCTGGGGTTTAATTTTCCAGAGAGAAGAGCACAGGCTTTGGGCTGTACTGTGAATATCCTGCTGATGTGGATTTTCCTTGTTTCCCTGTGATGTGCAATATTTGAAATTGCAGGGCCATGCAGACGAGGTGTTTGTCTTGGAGACCCACCCCTTCGATTGCAGGATAATGCTGTCTGCAGGTCACGATGGCAACATCTTCATATGGGACATCACCAAAGGCACCAAAACAAAGCATTATTTTAACATGGTGAGAGCTGCTTTAAACACCTTTTGTTCTCAGCACACAGCAGTGTGTTCACTACCAGCTTAAGGAATTGCCACCAACACTCACACCCTTGCATCTTTAGGGAAAAAAAAAAACAACCAAACAGGAAAAACCTTAACCAGCAAAGTTTATTAATTTTTTTCCTTAGCGCTTTTTACTTTAGAATTTCCTGATTATTGCAGATTTCCACTCTTTGTTACTGAAGATCATTCATATTAATTGTTTTCCTCAGCTGAGGTGAGGTGCCATCTAAAAGGCTCTGTTTTAGGCCATTGTTTCAAGACGTTTGTGGACAGGTGCTTGTATTTTGTACAGTCTTAAAAATTATCATCTTAATATCCATTGGCACAGTGCTTGGGACTCATTTGACAGCTCGTTGTTAACACTTTAAATTAGGTTATTTTGTCTGAAACTGAGGTTCTGATTGAATGTTCATGTAAACTTTTCATCCTTTTTTTTCCCTGATCAGTCAACAGGAAAGAGCTTTTTTTTATTATTTTTAACTTCTTAAATTCACTGGGTTTGTCTAGAAAGTTGTTTAACAAAACTAATCTGTATTAGTTCCAGTTTATTTCAAGTAGTGTGCTAACAGCTAAAAAGCCTCAAAAAAACATGTTTATTTCTTTATTTTATTCACTGAACAGTAAATTTTCATATCCTCTAGTTCATCTTTTAGAATTTTTCAGGACTTTAGTATATTTCTTTTCCCCTTAAATTTAAGTAACAAAATTATTTATGCCTTAATGGAGGTACTTAGAGAAATGCATGATGGCTTTTGATAGAGTAATTAATTTTTGATGCTTATGGTTTGCTCTGAAAAAACGGTCAAATAATCTTGATTTTTTTTTTTTTTTTTTTCCTTCAATGCAGATTGAAGGCCAGGGACATGGAGCTGTTTTTGACTGTAAATTTTCCCCAGATGGGCAGCATTTTGCATGCACAGATTCTCATGGACATCTGTTGATATTTGGCTTTGGCTGTAGCAGGCCTTATGAAAAGGTAAGTTCAGCTTTTAGTCACATTTCTATATTGAGTTTCTAACTGAAATTACATTAGTTTAATTAATTTAAAAATTCATATGTAAAAAAAACAATTTATGTGGTTAGAGGATCTAAATATAATGGATTCTTTGGTGTCTGTAAATTGTCTTGCTCATATGATCCTGGCACAGCAGGAAAAACCAATATCTTAACATTCCCATGGGAGTAGCTCCCAAGAATGTTCCTGGAATACATTTTCATCTTGGAGGCAGCTAATTCACGTTAATTGTTCAACCTCAAAAATGCTTCTGTTTCTCATTTCTGCTGGTTTATCTTGCAGTTCTTTAGGCCTTACCTCACTCAAGCCCAAATTCACTGTAGTTGATTAAATTAAGCAAAAGTAAATTATTGATCCAATACTGTGGATTTTGAAATACTAGAAAAATGTGAGAAGGATCAATGTCTGAATTATCCTATCCTAAATTTTTAATTTGTCAGCCTGCTTCCTTTTTGTTTTGATAAATACACATTTTTTCTTTTCTTCACTTTCCCTCTATATTTTTTTCAGGTTGCAATGCTAGTTTCATGTGTGTCATTTTAAAGGATTATTTTTTCCTTGCTCTACATTCTCAGCTGAAATTGAAATTTTTTCCTCATCATCTTTCCTGTCACTGCTGGAAGCAAACATTCTGACTGTGATCTAATAGTTATGTAACCATTTTCCCTCAGACTCATGGACTCAGCAGACTTTCAGTTGTAGAAAAAAACTTCAAGTGGATCTAGATTAAGAAAGAAATCATGATTAGGAAAACTTGACTTTGAGAGTTAGTGTTGAGCTTTAGCCAAAGATTTCCTTGCAAGCAAACTTAGGGGCCACTGACGAGTTGGTCTTGGTGATCCTTGGGTCCCTTCCAATTCTGAATATTCTGTGATTCTGATAATTGCAGGGGAGGAAATGAGAATGAGAGATAAATATTTCTAAGTGTATAACAGTACTTTTGCATCAAGTTACCTCAACTTTTTGTTTTCTGAAAGAATTTTGTTGGCTGCAAAAGCACTATGGAACACCCATCCAGGTTAACTGGAGTTACACATAAATGTTCTAATTGGGAACTTGCCCTTTCTTTTACCTTTAAGTAGATTTTAGAGACTTGAGTGCTTGTTTTTGTTCTTTAGCATATTCTTTTTTCCAAATTGCTCACATAAAAATAAAATTTCCTTTTAGATTCCTGATCAGATGTTCTTCCACACTGACTATCGGCCTCTGATCCGAGACTCCAACAACTACGTGCTGGATGAGCAGACTCAGCAAGCCCCTCACCTCATGCCCCCTCCCTTCTTAGTGGATGTGGATGGAAACCCACATCCCACAAAATATCAAAGATTGGTGCCAGGAAGAGAGAACTGTGCAGATGAACATTTGATTCCTCAGCTTGGATATGTAGCAACAAGTAAGAATATCACTAAAGCTCTACATTCAGAAGTAGGTTATGCACTAGTTCCTAAGGGACATCAGCAATTTTAAAATACCTTTTTTTTTCACTTGATATTTTGTATTTATGTTCACTAAAGATGCTGGGAGGTCCTACAGTGAATACAATTTAAACAAGCAAAAAAAAAAAATCAATTGTTCAAATGGATGTTGCAGTTCTTTTCTGTGGGCAGTGATGTTCACAAACCATTTGATTGTACATTCCATAAATGTCTTACTTGGAGTAAATAATTGGAATAACTTCATTCATTTGCTCTGTTTTGCACTTGCAAGGTGATGGAGAAGTTGTTGAGCAGGTGATTGGCCAGCAGACAGTTGACCAGGATGAGCCAGGCTTGGAGCCCAGCATTCTGGATGGGATGATCAGACAGCTACAGCTGGAGCAGGATCAGAGAAATGGAGCTGATCAAGAATCTGCTCCAAGTGGCCCCCAAAACGGAGAGGGAACACCCAGGAGAGGTGAGGACTGCTGATAAATTCCTCAGCAATTGCTCTGTCTCCATTTTTATTGTGCTGTGTGAAATACTGAAACAGGTTTTAACTTCAGTGTAGTTTTGGGGACTGAGATTCTTTTAACATTGTGATACCTGGTTATTTTTAGTCATTAAAACACTGCTGCTGCTCCTGTGATAAAATTACAAAGCCTTCCACTTTAAAAGGAAAGATAATTAATAACATGCAAAACATACACAATAGAATTTTTGCAAATGTTTGCCAATTTAAGTTATTTTTCCATTCCTTACTTATTGAAAGTAAGTATTGTGCAGTTACTCAAATTGGTTTCCCTTGTCCCTTCTTTACAGATTTAAACAAGACACTTTCCTAAGCTGTCTTTGTAATTTTAATTATATAATTATATCACATAGATGAAAAAATATGTATTTTCTTATACAATTATATATTTAATTGTATGTGCTCAGCTCTAGGAAAAGTGCTTTTTAGAGCCTCACTGGCCTCAGAGCTGTTTGAAATAGTTCAGAAGAACCCTTCTGTCCCACCAGAATTCCTTTCACCGTGAGGTGTTTGGAATCCACTGGAACGTGGCACTCAGTGCTCTGGTCTGGTTGTCAAGGTGGTCATTGGTCAAATGCTGCATCTTGGAGGTCTTTTTCAGCCTAAATGACTTTGTGATTCTGTGAAAACATTAGCAGAAATTACCATTTGAAAAGTCATTTGTGTAATCTCTCTGTGTTTTCTACAGTTAATATCCCCTGAAGGCTACAAGCCACGTACTCAGAGATAAAAATTCATCCATTATTCTATTTTAACAAGAAGCAACGAGCTTCCACCTCCTTGCAGCGTGGCAGAAACGTTTTGATTTGTGTGTTTCAGCTTTCAGAAGGCCGAGTTTGGACATCCAGTCCCCTCCCAACATCGGGCTGCGGCGCAGCGGGCAGGTGGAGGGCGTGCGGCAGATGCACCAGAACGCCCCGCGCAGCCAGATGGCCACCGAGAGGGACCTGCAGGCCTGGAGGCGCAGGGTGGTGGTGCCTGAGATCCCCCCCAGCTTGCTCAGGTCTGTGTGCAGCCTGCAGAGACTAGGCAGAGTTAGAGAGTATAGTAGATGTTTATTAAAAAGCCTTCAGAGGCTGCACCCACGGTGGATGATGGTTGGGAGTTTTTCAGACAGAAGTTTGGTTTGTTGGCATATCGGAGGTTAATTGTCCAGTTATAGCTTCAGGTAATTAAGTCATATCCCCCTGGTTTGCTTCTCCCCCTCAGTTCATTTTTGTTTATACTTTTCAGGGCCTGGGGCAGCTGGTGTGACCTTGGTTTCCAGGCCCAGAAGGATTGTTTTGTCTGACCAAAATGTGACGACAACTAGCTAGCTCGAGTTCAGAGTTACACACTAATGCAGTACACAGTCTGAAAAATAGAAAAGCTACAACTTAAGGCATCACAGGGAACACTAGGGATAGCACAGCACCTTGGTTTGTCTAAATGGAGGCTGTTACATCAAAGGTAGAATGGATGCTGTTGGAATAGTTCAGCGTTGTGGGCAGATGTGCTAAAAACTCAGAATTGTGAAGTCCATTCAATGAGAAGAAAGGGAAGTTGTCCAGTTGAATGATTCTCCCCTATTTGAATATTTTAAGTCATCTCCAGGCCAGCTAGGTCACCTAGATTCTTGCTTTCTCCAAAATAAAAGATACAGATTGGATTCATTTCCATGGAGGACTTGGGTGAGATTGTGCTGTCTGTGAGACTTTTGGAGGTGATGAGTTATATAACCCCTTGAAATGCTAAACCACTTGCTTTCAAAAGTACTATCAGTATTCATCTGTGAAAAGGAGGATTAGTAGCTAAACATCTCTTTTTAAAGCCACAACCATAGCTGCTACCACATCTCTGAGGGTTTTAAGTATTCCCAGTTTTGGGAAGTAGAAGGATTGCAAATGGAAAAATGTGAGTTAAAAATGAGGTTGAAAACGTAGATTGTATTTTGATGTTTGGAAGGAAGACTTTCTTAGCATCCATGTCTTTTACTCTTACTGGAAATGATAGGATGGTTTAGAGTTAATCTGAAAGTAAAAATGGAATGGAATTGGGTGTGAGAGTGATCCCTTAAAGATACCAGCATTGTCAAAGCAGGTGTAGAATTAGATTTTCATGGCTTTCTTGTAGGAAACAGGAAGAATATCGGATTGCAAAAGGGGAAGAAGAGAGAGATCTTTATGCAACAGAGAAGAAAAAGTCATTTGAGTCACTGGAAAAGGTACGTGGCAGCTTCTGGGAAATTGAGCATTCTGTAGGCCAAGGGCAAGTGGTGGTGTAGAAAATGAAAGCAGAGGTTTCTGGTATGGTCTTCCAAGGACCCTGATGATTTAGCTCCCAATTATTGCAGAACAAGGTTTGATTTATTTTTAGGGATACTTGGAATTCTTCTTGCTTTCAGTCTTACTTGCTTCTGTGTGAGGTATTTGGGAGTAATTTTTAAAGGCAGGATGGTTTTCAGGCCGTTCTGGTTTGACTGCAGTTACACAGCTACTGCAAGTCCTGCTAAAGCACTGAGGGCACTCAAGGTTCTGTACTTGAGGAATCAGGCTTATATTGCTGTTCCTTGTCATTTTACTTTAGATAATTTTGTGTGGGAGAAACTTCTTCAGACTTCCCTCATTTAAGTGCTTTTTTCATTACCTGTTTTGTGGGAGAGATTGGCAAGAAGAAAACATAGGTTATTGTGCTGTTTTTTATAAGCTTCTTGCTTGATCTGCTGTGTCTTAGAGTACAAAACAATTTGACACAAGAACTCTACTGCATGATCCCTTTACTGAGAGGAACTGGGGGTTGAAACAAGATGATCTTTAAGGTCCCCTCTAACCCAAACCGTTCTCTGCTTTTATAATTGCACATTATAGGCAGTTAATGTCTTGATTCTGTAAATGCATTTATCAAGTGATGTGAATGGAGCTGTCACAGTAGTTTATAAAGAGCAATTTCTTAGGACAGCTAATAAACCTTAAATTTGGAACAGCAAATTTTAAGCTTTGAGCTTACATGAAAGGGAGTTTTAACTTGATAATGCTGTTTCAGTTTTTGCATTCAGCAGTGCTTTTAGCCACCCTTTCCCCCTCATAAAAGATTGCCAGATAAATATTTTTATTTAACTCCTGCTGTTTCCTTTCTTTATAAATTAGAGTGACTCTGAGTCTTCATTAATCCAATCAAAGCGTCGACTGCACAGACGGAAATATTCCAACTACAGGACAAGGAAGAACATTGAGCAGCTGGAGTCTTCTGAGGAGGAGAGGGACAACTGCCTTGGCTTGATAGAGCAGGTGAGTTCTCTTCTGAGTTTGGACTGAGCCTGAGTTGCTCAATAAATGAAATTTCTTGTAGATGTGCCTTTCTCTGTTGAACAAGCAAACAAAAAACCCTACTCCTTCTTTTTCCAGAGAGAAAGTATTGCTTTAAACATGATCATTGTTAGCACTTCTCAAACCTTTTGTGCTGCTTTAATAAATGGCTCAATTGGTTTTGCTGAGAATCTTCTAAACTAAATCCACAGCCCACGGCAAAAATCTGATGGACAATTGGTTGGCTTCAGGGGACATTTGGAGTTTAGATGGGTTTTAATGTTTTTCTGTGGAAATTTTGAAGGGTCTTGCTAATGTGGTTCTTCCACAGGGTCTGTTCCTCTTGGCCTGGGCTGACACAGAGCTCTGTGGGGGTAGCAGGAGCTTTTTGTTTGTGTCTGATGTGTTATCAGACTGTAAATGGGTGATAGGACTGCATGGACTGCCCTTGTCTTGCCTTGCCCACTAGGAAATAATTTTAAAGTGGGAAAGGGAAAAGTGGAATGAGCAGAGGAGCTCAGATTTATTGGAGCAGTCACTTTGTAAAGGAAGAGCAGTGAACAAAAGGGGGACATTCAGGAGATGAGGAAGTCTTGCAAGTAAGATGAGGAATGGTATCCCTTGGAAATTAATGATTTCCAATAATTAATCTCCTTTCCTTGCCCCTTAAAGCATTTCAATGTGGCAAAAAAAAAATCACTTAAATTGAATGTAAAGTTCAATGAGTATTGAACTTTGGTATTGTAGTGTATCATCTACACAGAGTATGAGCAGGTTTTAGTGAGAGGACTCTTAGCTTTGTTACTGTGAAAATGACAGCTGGACTAATTCAAACATTTGAAGCTACAATTGAAATCTCATGGGATTTTCTCCTATTTTTAATTTTTTTGCTTGATAACATACAACTTGATATGAGCCGTGCATCATACTGACTCAGTTATGAAAAACACATTTAAAACATTATTTGATGAGCAACAATCAGGAAGTTATTAAAATCATAATATATTTTGGTCTATCTCTGCTGTTAAGTGTTGCAATTAGTACTTGGTCAGTCAATTGATACTAAAAGGGGAGGGGAAAAAAACCTCTCAACTTGCATAACTAATGAAAAAAATCATAGCAGTGACAGAATATCCCCTTGTGTGGAGAGATGTGATTGTTTTTCCTGATCCATTCCTTTTGTCATGTAAATTCTTCTCTGTCATTCAGATTTTATTATGTTCTTTACGTGACCTGCTTACTTTGATTTTTGATTTTAACAACTTTTTACCAAACTTCTTTTACATTTGATAATATGGACCACATGTTTTTAAGTTTAGACACTTAAAACATGGGTTTGGCTTGAGTGTGTGTTTTTAACTTTAGGAAGCTGAAGAAAGTGAGGGCTCTGGTTCATCTGATGAAGAGGAAGAGTGGAGAAGTGACAAGAAAAGCAATAGCAATAGTTCTAGGTAAAGTGAAAAAACACATCTCATAATGAGTTTTACTTGAATTTTGACAAATTAAGAGTTTCATGAAAGCTCTGTTGTGCTTCAGATGTCCTCATATGATAAAAATAATGATAATCATATAAGGTATCACTGACACCTTGTGTTGTTATTTACTGTTCCATTTCACCAAAACACTTTTATTTTTAATGTAACTCTAAGTCTCTCTGCTTTTTTTTGTCATATGGCAAAGAAAGGTGAGAGTCTGGAATATTTCTATGGTGTGTTTTGGTCTGGGTTCGGAGGTTTTGAAAAATTTTGTTTGGGAATTTTTTTTTCCCAATTTCGTTTGGGAATTTTTTGGGTTTTTTTTTTTCCTCATTCTTAAAAGTTTTTTTGAGAAAATTGAATTTTTAAAAGTTTCTAGTTTTACGTAGAACTGTTATAGATAAGTTTTTAATTATCTCATTGTGGCTATTTTAAATATTTTTACAATCTTGTAGTACTAGAAATAAAAAATACTCAGAATGTGGATGTGTCACTGAGATTTGGATAAATGTAAAGAATTCAAGCAGCATTTGATTCTTGTGTTCGTTAGGGAGGGCTTCTAGTTAATCCAGAATTCCATTGCACAACTTTCTTGAATACATTTACTGATTTTAGAATTCACTAGACTTGAATTGTTCAAAGAAATGTGCTTTGAATTACTGGATTCTCCCAAAAATTCATGTTAAGCTTCAAGTGAAGTAATGGTTGCAACAGGGCAAAGTGATTTTGAAGTTGCTTTCAACAGCACTTGCAATCTGCTGGTATTTTTTGGGGAGAGTTGAGGATTCTGGAGTAGTGAGAGGCCGTGTTTGTGTTTCCCTGCCCTCTGTGCACAGCGATTCCTCGAGCCGATATTCCGACTGGATCGCGGACGCCGGGATCAACCTGCAGCCGCCGGTGCGCACCTCGCGCAGGAAAGCGCTCAGGTACTGCAGCACCTCCGAGGATGAGGTGTCAGCTGAGAAATCCTCTCCTCCCAAGAGGAGGAGGAGGAAGAGGAGGAAAAAACCCAAACCAAAAAAGCAGGAGGAGGTACGATTTTCATTTTTTTCTACACAGTCTTCAGTTCATTTCTCTCTTAGGAGTTAGGTCTCTTATTAAAAATTATTTAATTGTTACTGCCATTAGCCAAGGATCTTGCTGTCGCCACACACAGGGTAGATGGAATTGATTTGAGATCATTCCCTGTGTGAGGCATCTGCTGATCTGTAGAGAAGAATCTGCATTCCAAGTGAAGGTGCTTTTATTTTCCAAATAAAAAGGGTTCTCAAGGTTGATAGTGTTAAAGGGGAAATGTGTTTTATAAATACCAGTACAGAATATCACCCTTGTCCCAAGGGCATGGAGTGATAGGACAAGGGGGAAGGCTTTAAACTGAAGGAGGGCAAGGTTAGGTTAGATTAGGGAGGGATTCTTGACTCTGAGGGTGATGAGCCACTGGCACTTGTTGTCCACAGAAGCTGTGGCTGCCCCTGGATCCCTGGCAGTGCCCAAGGCCAGGTTGGGTACTGGGGCTTGGAGCAGCCTGAGATAGTGGAACGTGTCCCTGCCCATGGCAGGGAGGAGGTAGAACTCACTGATCTTTGAGGTCTCTTCCAACCCAAACCATTTTGTGACTCTAAAACTTTGTTAAATTGTCTGTTTTTTCACCTGCCTTAATACTTAGGGGACACAGTCACTGCATTGATGGTGGCCACTTATACTTAGGTTGAATCTTTAATTTTTTTATAAGTTAAAATTATTTCTCTTTTTTAAGCTACTAATTTTTAAGGTTGATTTAATTAATCACCTTTTTAAAGTTACAATAGCTACTGTTAGTTGTTTTTTCTCATAAAGGAGCAAACAAATGCTTTTTTTTAAGCCTGGGGTAATTTTGATACATTTAGTCTGTTTTTCTCTCTATCCCTTCGCTTTCTTCCAGGTAGCATCAAATTTGCAGCTTGAATAGTTTTTAACTGTGTACTGAGACTGTCATCTAAATTATAAAACTTTCTGCTAAGGCCTGCATAATCATGACTTGCTCACTCAAATCTCCAGATAGGAATGGAATGTTTAGTACTAGCATTACAAATACAGTTACAGCTCAAGCAAAGCCTTGGATGAATTCTGCTGATACTGTTTGGAAATGCTGTAGATTAGTCCTTTATAACTTAAGCTGTTGTCTGCCAAGTCAAAACAGAATGATTTGTTTAGAATTCCTGTCCATTATGTCTGATTTTATGAAGGCTGATGCTGCAGCACAACCACTGAACTTGGAGCTGTCCTACGACTGTCACCCTCCAGTTTGGATCACAGACACGGCTCTCCGAAGGTCCCCGTTTGTCCCTCAGATGGGGGACGAGGTAGGAACATGCATTAAAATCTTCCAGTGCTTGTGATGATTGTAACTGCTAGATACAGGAAAACATTCACTGATTGGGCTTGTTGGGGTGTTCTTTAGGTGATATATTTCCGACAAGGGCACGAAGCTTACATTGAAGCTGTGAGAAGAAATAACATTTATGAACTGAATCCACACAAGGAGCCTTGGAGAAAAGTGGTGCTTAGGGTAGGTCTGCACTGAAGGTCCTGTGGCTTTAGAAAGAGTTTTATTATTCTGTTTGCAAAACACAGATTTGTGAGGTTATTGATATTTCCCTATGGGAAAAGTATGTGCAATCATCAGGTTGTCTTTGGAATGTTCTGTGGGAAGCCAAATGAAATACCTGTGTTAAAATCCTAAGGCTGACAGATCGCCTTCCATTGAAATCTCAAATCTAATTTCAGTAATTTGCATGTGGGTACAGTTGGTTAATTCTAAACTAACAGTTCTGTGCATGGTCCCTAAGATAAAACTTGCTGAAGCTGTTTGTTCTTACCTGTAGGATCAGGAATTGGTAAAAATTGTTGGAATTAGATACGAAGTTGGTCCTCCCACATTGTGTTGCCTCAAGCTTGCCTTTATAGATCACGCCACTGGGAAACACACAGACAAATCATTTTCCATCAGGTATGTGCAGTTTTAGTTTCCTGAAAAGTGTTTAAGAATATGTTTCTCTTCTTCCCAAAGCCCTGAGGCACACGTGAGTGACGATTTTTTTATCCAGATACCACGACATGCCAGATGTTATCGACTTCCTTATCTTACGTCAGTTCTACGACGAAGCCCGGCAGAGGAACTGGCAGGCCTGTAAGTGTTTGCTGAGTGTTGGACTGAACAGTTTTGAAATCACAAATGTGTCCTTGGCTAATTGCAGCATGTGCTGTTTGTACGGAGAGTTCTCCTATAGGCAAGAGTCAGAAATGTAAACCTTGAAGGGACTGCAGTAAATGTAAATACAGTCACCAAAATACATATCCAGACTGTTCTGTTCCCTTTTTCATTTTAAAGCTAAATAACAGACTTACATGTCAGTGGGTCTAGAACTTTAATTATGGAGAGAAATCAAGCAGTACAATCAGAAGTTTTTCTGACTGCCTGTGGCATCCACAGAGTTAAATCCTTCTCTCAGCAGATTCTCTGTGTTTGCTGCAGCCGACAGGTTCCGCTCCATTATCGACGATGCCTGGTGGTTTGGGACAGTGCTGGGTCAGGAACCTTATCAGCCTCAGTACCCAGACAGTCACTTCCAGTGTTACAGTGTCAAGTGAGTACAAAGAGATTTTATTTCTAATGTTATTAGAGTGCCTTTGCTCTCACACAACTGCCTCATTGCTTTGAGAATGTATAAATCGTTCACTAAAATTCTTTTGCTCCTGGTGTTGTCACTTAGTGGTTTTAAGTTGCTGCTGCAGCACAGTGTGGAAATGTAGTAACTTGTGGCAATTTGTTAATGAGTAGTAATATGGTAAAAGCAGTTGTTGACCTCTTCACATTTCCTGGGTCCTTTCCACAAAGCAAGCAGTGCAGTTTTCTGTGAACTTTAATGGCTGGTCTGCACTGATAGTTGATTTGGGGATGCTGAATCTCCCCTGTGGTTGCTGATATCAAGGTCCTTATGCCTCAAGTCCTCACACTTTGTCTTTCACACTGGGCACCCTTTTTCATATCAACAGAGGACTTCACACATGGTAAACAATGGTAAACAAAGATATCTCTGTGTTCAGTGTTCAGATTCAGGGTATTGACCTTGTCCTGCCCTGTCCAGGCTGTCTGGAATAGAATACAGGCATGGTTTGGGTTGGAAGGAACCTTGAAGATCATCTTGTTCCAGCCCGTTGCCAGGGGCAGGGACACCTTCTGCTATCCCAGATTACTCAGAGCTCCAGACAACTTGGCCTTGGACATTTCCAGGAATGAGGTAGCCACAACTTTTCTGGGCAACTTCTGTCAGGGCTTCACCACCCTCAGAGTCAAGAATTCCTTCCTAGTATCTAATCTAACCCTTCCCTCCTACAGCTTAAGGCCATTCCCCCTTGTCCTTCACTCCATGCCCTTGTGAAGGTCCCTCTCCAGCCTTCTTGTCACCTCCTTTAGGCACTGACAGGATATTTCTGGGATTTTTAGTTTGGTTTCCCCCAGCAAGGGAGGACTGTGAGAAGATAAACAGTGAATATTCAATATTCCTATTTCCATCATGCCCAGAGATAGTTCCCATGTCTTACACAGTACATTTAATAGTCACAGTTTCATTGTTGGAATACTTCTTAATTGCTTTTTCACTCAAAGGCTTTTGAACCTGTTGCTCACCACAAAGAAGGGAAATTTTATAGCTAATAAGACAATTCAGTGAGACTGCCAAGATTGTGTTACATGTTTTGGTTCCTTGTCTCATCTGCTTGTCTTTTCTCTCTATGATTTTCCTGGGTGGGAAGGTGGAAGTAACTTGTGAAGTTCTTGCCTGTTACCTTCCCTTCCATATTCCATCCATTCCATTTGTTTTGTTGTACCACAAATGTTCCTTAGGAGGAAGTTCAGGTGGGTTTTGGATTTTTCTTGGCCAGTTCCAGATCAGGTTTCCAGTTCTGAACAAAAACCTGTTTGTGCCAATTTCCTGGGCTCCTTTCTCCTGTAAGACCTAAAGGATATTTCAGTATTTTAATGCACCAGCATTTAACAGAAGAGTCTAGAGCTGCTTGGAAGGAAGGAATGCTGTGTTCCTAAAGATCCCTTTTCAAAAGGACTTTATTCTACCTGGCCTCACAAACAGCTCTTCCAGAGCAGAATCCTAAGATATGTGTATGAAAATATCTGGAGTGTTTGGCAGCTGTGTTTAGGTTTTGTGACCTGGCTGTGTCTGTTGCTCTTTCTGTCACATTTACTTCAATTTATTGTTGTATGGAAGATAAATTAATTGAAGATAGTTTTCCTTTTTTTGTTATTTTATTGGCAAGACAATAGTAGCTGTTTGTGTAGAAGCAGCTTGATTTATTATGAAGTTACATTACTTGGGCAAGTGGAACTTAAGCAGAACTGAGTGAGGTTTAAGGTGTACTAAACTCTTGATAAAGTCTTGCATGCAAAATTATGAATGAATATATCCATTTGTGAATATCAACAACTTGTAAAGTATTGTACAATAACTGGGGAGGAAAACTGAACAGATCAACCTTTAGGACTCTTAGTTCATAAAAATCAAACAGATTGAATGATCTAAGTTTTCCTAAGGCATTGGGAAATCCAAAACAATGGAGAGCTGCTCTTGCCAGAGCAGGGGTTTAGTTATAAAATACTCTGGGCATGATCATTTCAGTTTCAATTGGTTTGAAATAAATACAAGGAGGCATTAGACCAAATATCTGAGTTTATTAAGGCATCAGAAGTAGACCCAGGAATTTGGAGAACTCTAGGAAACTGCTGCCAAAGCTGCAAAGCTCTGGAGGAAAATTGGTAACTGCAGACTGATCTATTTGTTTCTGGTGTTTGCTTGTAATAAAAAATAAAACTGGGAGCATAAGGATTAACCCAACTGTAGGAGAGGTCCAGCCCTCCATCTGTACAGGGTATTTCTTCCTCTCTGGATCAGTGAGGTGTGAAGCTGGTCCAGTCAGACATTTTTTACCTTGAAAATAGCAAAGTGCATTGGTATTTTAGGTGTTTTTAAAAACATGTAAAAATCTGCCCAAATGTGGTGGATTTTGGAGAGATCTCTGAATGATGTTCACACCTCATAGTTCAGTATCAGAGTGAATATCCAGATCTATCAATAACACTTGTGTTGCTTTTGCTTTGTCTTGGATCTTAATTGACTTCAGTTTCTTTGTTTTATATTTATTATTTTCTTTGTCTTAATGTCCTCTGCCCCATAAATTTTCATGCTGGCATATGAAATTCCTCATTTCCTGTTCTCCCTTAATCCACTTGAGCAGCTCCTGCTGTGAAGAGCAAGAAAAATCCTCTCCTGTATTTTTCTCAAATCTTCCCTTGATGTTATCTCACTTTTCCAAGTGTGCAGCTTATTCTTCTTCTTCATCTTTCTGATAAAAACTCTGTAAAATTGATTTATGTATTGGGTAAGTTGCATACAGCCAAAATCAGGAGCACAATTTTAATCTGAAATTGATTATGAAGAATTTCCTTTTTGCTGATTGCAAACCAATGCTTTTGTTTATATCCATGTTTTTTAGTGTATTTTGTCAGTACCTGCTAATAGCTGTAATTTAAATTTGCTGATAGCTGAGATTTAAGTATGCTTGGAGGGGAACACTTCTGAGTCAAGGTAACTTTAAATTTTTTATTTTTTTTACTTGGTGAATCAGATGGGACAATGGTGAAATTGAAAAGCTGAGCCCGTGGGACATGGAACCAGTCCCTGATAATGGTAGGTAGAAACTCTTTAATGAAACAGCCTAATGAGCTTCTCCCTCTTGCCAGTTCCTTTGTTTCATGCAGGTAGTGGACCTGAGGTGATTCCTGTCTTAAAGACAGTCTTGATTCAGATTTAGTGAAATAATTTGAATATACCTATATTTTTTTCCCTTTGCATCTTCCAGAGCAGTTTTGAAAAAAATAGTTTAAATGTGTAGCTCTGACTTAAGGAATAAAACCTGTTACTTCCAAATGTCAGATTTCGAAAACCATCTCAAGTTTCAAAACTATGAATTTGTTGTAGTATACTATAATACAAGGGTGTGCAAGAAGAATTTAAATAAAATAAATTCCAGTCAATAAATCCTTACTGCACATAGTTTAAAACCAACAATTTATAAAGTATTCTGATCAAATCCAGATTATCTGTAAATAAAAGAGTGGCATTTATGCTTTGTCTTAATATTTCACTTTTCCAGTACTTGTCAGTACCAGCTGGGAGAGGGGAGGAAAGTTTGGGAAATGCTGAGGAAGTAGTTACTGAATAAGCTGTCAAAAAGATAATAAACTTAATTCAAAACTGCAGAAAAACAGAAATTAAAACATTTTGCTGTTTCTATCCATTTTTGTGTAATTTTTTCCCCTTACCATTAAACTCTACTTCAAGGCAAGGATTTTTTTGTCAGTTGCAAGCATGCGATTATTTAATAACTGTGAGTGCTCAACAATTTATCTTGTTCTCACTCCTTCCCCCATTTGCTGTCTTCAGTTGATCAGCCTGAAGAATTAGGAGCGAGTGTCTCTGTGACTTTGGAAGAGGTGGAGAAGCTCCTGTACAAACCCCAGGAGGGGGAGTGGGGGATGAAGTCCCGTGATGAGGCCTGTGAAAGGATTATCCGTGGGATTGATCAGCTCATGACTCTTGGTGAGTGTGAGCTGAGCTTCAGGTGGTTTTCTCCTGATGTTACATTTATAAAGAGCCTGGAGTATCCCTGGCATCCCTTAAAAATTCCCTGTGATAAAGTGCTTTAATGAGCAGATGTTGAAGAACTCTGTGCAGTTCTTCATGTTTGTTCTGAGATCTTTATGATTTTAAACATCATTGGTTTTATAACGCCCAGCTCACTTGCCATGGACCTTACAGGCTTTGAAATAAAATCCCAAAATGGCTTGGGTTGGAAGGGACCTCAAAGCCCTAAAGTTCCTGCCATGGGCAGGGACACCTTCCACTTCCACTGTCCCAGATTGCTCCATGCTCCTGGCCTTGGGCACTGCCAGGGATCCAGGGGCGGCCACAGCTGCTCTGGGCACCCTGTGCCAGCCCCTGCCCACCCTGCCAGGGAACAATTCCTAATTCCCAGTATCCCATCCAGCCCTGCCCTCTGGCACTGGGAGCCATTCCCTGTGTCCTGTCCCTCCATCCCTTGGGAATTGTCTCTCTCTGCCTTTCCTGTCAACTCCTTCAGATACTGGAAGGCCAAAAATGAGGCCAAACAGTGAAATTTTGCTGTTCTTGCCGTTTTTAACCAGACATCTCAGCAGCTTTTGCTGGCCCAGTGGACCTGTGCACGTACCCCAAGTACTGCACGGTGATCGCGTATCCCACGGACCTCAACACCATCCGCACCCGGCTGGCCAACAGGTTCTACAGGTCAGTGCTGCCAGGGACAAACTCACCCGGGCACTCTCTTCAGAGCTGCTATAAACCCTGACATGCTTTCTTTGAGAAATTCACTATTTGAAATCACCAGATATTAAAACTCCCTCAGTTTGAACTGTCATCAGCACTGAAGCAGCTTTTGAAGTGCTGTCCTTCAGTTACTTTGAACTTAAAGAAGGTTAAGCTCTTGCTATTTTCAGAAAGGAGCTTAAACACAAGAGGTGAAATGTTAAATATTGACAGCAGCGTTTTAGAGAAAGAGGGAAGAGTGTAATGATGGCAAAGCTCTGGTTTGCTGGATATGCTGGTCAGCCATAGCTTGAAAATAAATTTAAGTATATTCTTCATCTGGACCTGCATTCAGTGTGTCTGTAAATGCAGTGCAGAGACATTAATAGTGATTTTCCTCCTGTATAAGATGGAAAAAATGTCTTGGGAAGTCATTGGAAATTCTGTAAGTGAAGAACTGCAGACTTGGGGTATCTCTGCTTCACAGGTATAAGGAATTGGGAAAACGAGTTGCACAAATGAAATTACGTGTTTGTGGCAGCTCATTTCTATCAAATTATAATTTCAGTTTGTAGCAGTTTCTCAAATCTGTCATTTTGCAGGGGGCACTGTTTTCAGTGGTCAGTTGGCCTCAAAGTAAGGTCTTTTAGGGAAGACAGGGACATCGTAGCTGGGATGTCTTTAAAAATGTAATTAATTGGCCAAAGCTCTTGTAACTCCTTTTTAATTGCTTGTGCTTTGTATTTATTAATTAAAAGTCCTCAGATATGACTCAGCTTGTGTTCTGTTTCTCAAGGCTTTGTAACAAGCAGCTGCTTCTAATATTTCCAGAAGAAATGTGATAATTTAGAGTAGTGATTAAATTA